AAAGCCAGAGCTAGTCACTGCACGCCAGTTGACAATTTCTTCACCTCATGGCTTGGATGATCTCTGGTTGAGGAATGTGGAGAAAAGTCTGCCCTCAAGATTTCTGGGCCATTTTGATTAACAGCACAAAGGGTCTTCACCTGAGTTACTTATGTAGCAAAATAGGAAAGGTTTTCAGTCTGGGCTGAATCTCATCACTCATCACCAAATTGCACGGAGGTCAGACATATTGGACTACTTGCTGCATTAGAAATCTGGTCTTTCCATCAGTTCGAGAGTCCATCTAGCAACCATTTTTGGATGTGTTACACCCACTGAGGAATGGGTTTGTTTTTTTTTACATTCCTTGGTATCAAGATTTGTAAAGGGACTTACTCATGTTTACCTTTCTATGTCTGATTCAGTAGATCCCTGGAATCTGAATTTAGTATTGCAACTTTTAATGGGTTCCCCCTTTTGAATCTTTGGCAACAGAATCCTTATTATTGCTATCAATGAAAATAGCATTTCTACTAGCAATTACCTCTGCAAGGAGGGTGTTAGAGCTTCAGAGTAGCTGAAGTACTAGCAGTACTAGCTGGCCTCCCCCCCCCCCCCCCCCGCCCCCACCTCCCTTCATGATTTTCTATAAAGACAAGGTCTCTCTTAGGCCGCACCCTTACTTTATGCCTAAAGTTGTTTTGGTATTCCACCTCAATTAAACCATCCATCTTCCAGTGTTCTTTCTAGCAAGGCTGAAGAAAAGCGTCATATCTTGGGTGTCTGGAGGGCTCTATCCTTTCACCTAGACTGCACAAAGTCTTTTAGCTCTTCTCCTGGACTTTATTTTAGCCTATGCAGAAAGGATTAAAGGGCAGCCTATTACAGCTCAGCATATTATCCCGTTGGATTTCTGACTGTATCAAGCTTAGCTATGATGTAGCAAAGGTCTGTCCTTACCCCAGGATGACTGCCCATTCCACCTGGGCAGCCTTTTTGAGCAACATACCTATTGTAGACCTTTGCAAAGCATCAGCACGGTGCAACCCTTTTCCAAATGCTATGCAATTAATAAAGCGTCCTGGGAAGAAGTGATCTTTGGCAAGTCTGTGTTGCAGTCCTTCAAATAATTTGAAGTCCCACTACCTGTAAGGAAACTGTTGGTGAGTCACCTAACATGGAATGTATTTGTGCATAGTCACCTGAAGGAGAAGAGTGGTTACTTACCTCTACAGTAACTATTCGTTGAGATGTTTCGTACATGTGCATTCTGTGTCCCTCCTACCTTTCCCGCTACTTTTGATATTTGTTGGAGGGTGCTGTGAAGAAACAAAGAGAGAGGTGTAGGCAATACCCCTTTATACTCTAGGCTCTGTGCACAAGAGTGGTGGGGCATGTGTGCCACCTGCTGGCACTGCTGGCAAAAGTCTCCCACTCGAGTGCATTGGACATGCGCGCACACACCTACAGCGGAATTATATAAGTGTAAGACATCTCAAATTTACTGCACAGGTAAGTAGCCATTTTTAAAAATATCTTTGCTATTGCCAAGTGATAGTGGCTTTTCTAGACCGTTGTAGCCAGGTTTTGTTGGTATTGTTGTATAAATACTTTAGTAATATCAGTACATCTTAATCTGCGTAAAGGGGTAGTACTTTATTTTTAAAAGTAGTCCTTTGCAAAGCTCTAAATGTTGGTGTGATTTGTATAAATATATCACGTTATAAAAAATGAAAATTTTAGAATTTTGAAAACCTAACATAATTTGGACTAATATGGATTAGTCATAACAACACTTAGGTGTGAGTCATAATGTATACCAAATAGGCTCTGTGTATTATGCACGCAAATGGCTCAACAGATTTTTATCAGACTTTCCAAACAAAAGAGATTCTGAGCTGTGACAACAAACTAAACAAATCAGTCTGAAACCTCTGGAGAAATTAAATTACTGAAAATGGCGGTTAAGAATGGATGTGCTATCCCAGCCTTAAACATAGCATAGCGTCATGCTGTGCAAACGAAAGATCATGTTATGATGTGAAGTATCATAAAGTTAACCTTGCCATAAATTCAGGATGTTATTTTGAACGATGACAGAGCTGGAAATAATTATTTTGCAGCACTTTCCAAACAAGCAGCAGAAAACTTTCAACACCCCACACTAACGTTTACCAAACTTTGGAAAGCTGAATCTCTCCAAGAAAATGAAACTAACTGCATCTCCCCCTTCATTCCTGCCACATGGTGTTAAACCAAAATGATCAGTCACTCAGGCCTAGTCTGCACTACAGGGTTAGGTTGACGTAAACAGCTTTGCATTGACCTATCTGTGGAAGTGTCTCCACTTAAATTTGGCTCTCACCAATGTAAGTGCCTCTCTACGCTGATTTAGTAACACCACATCCCCAAGCGGTGTAGAGTCATAGTTGATGTAATTAGGTTTATGCAGTGTCAGTGTAGACATTGTGTTGCTTATGTCAACTGTTACTGGTCTTCAGGAGCTGTCCCACAATGCGCCACACTGACAACACAATCAGTACAAGTGCTCCTGGTGAAGACACATGCTGCTGACACAAGTGTGATTTTTATAACTGGGGGCTGTATGCTGATGAAAGTTAGGTTAACATAATTTTGTATGGTTAAACATGGCCTAAGAGAAGATTATGTAGATCCTCTTAATACTCGGCTTTCTTCCATGCTTAGAGCAGTGAATGATTTAACCATAGTGACCTTTAAAGTACTGTCATTAGAAGCCATGGAAAGGAATGGAGCAGTTGACACTTCAGAGCTATTGTTTGAGGCGCTTTGCAAAGTGAGACAGGCATCAATGACACTTGGGTCATGTTTTCATGGTTTTCTTTGCAACCATAACTAGAGACTAACTTCTTTGTGAAAGGAAAGCTGAGGCTCCAGAGAACAACGGAGAGGCCTGTATGCAGTCCACTCCTTCACCCCTGTTCCCAGGGGTGCTGCTGCAGGGTGGTACACTGCTGCAGGGTGGTACACTGCATGCTTCACAAAACACTGCCCTTCATAAATACTGTTTTTTATTTCTAATTTCTTTTAATTTTGAGGTGTATTACTGTCAAAGCTCATTGATGGAGCCTACAGATGCACAGAAATACAGTTTCAAACTACTTTAATTTAAAAGCATACACCAGGATTTGTGAAGCATAGAGATGTATTAGCGTAGAGTGTGGTAGACAAATAAACATTCAACAATATTAATCTTTTAGGATGAAGAGTGAAAACATTTTTCCAGAAAACATGTTTAAAGTTTTTAATTGTCTTCCTAATCAAGCAAGATTCAAAAACTAATGTACGTACATACAAACAAGTAATTGAAAGAAAGCAGTTTTCTTTACAAAGTTATCAATTCCTGGTCCTCATAACATCAGCAGTGTGGAAAACTTAAGTAGCTCAGCAATGCTTCTGAGCTTGAAAGGTGCCTAGATGAATCCTGAGATTCCTTCTTTAAGGCTGCTGTGTAGAGCCAGTGGCTGCCCTCCCATGCTCCCTGGTCAGGGGCAGAAACCATGCTGAATTCCACAGAGTCTGGCTACCATATTGGTAAGCTTGTGAGTTGTTTGTGAAATGATAGCTCCCTGCTCTCTTAGTGGGCATTGGGATTTGAAATTTCTGATTGAGTGACAGCTTAGAAAATTGAAAAGCTTGTATAGCCCAAGATAGTCCCCAGCTCAACACAGCCAAAATGAAACTGTCAGCTAGACAAGATGACAGGGATGCTTTTTCAGCCTGATGAGCCTTTCTCCTGAGCATCCAAAACACAGGCAGATTTCACCTTTGAACCACTTCTCTGCGCTCTTCCTTGCTGCTTGTTGCATGAGGGTTACTGCAGCCCTCAGAGATCCCAGAGTAAAGGGGAAAAATGATTAGTATCTACATTAGGTTGCTGGAGTTCAATGCTGCTTTAGTTGTCTCTGTCCTCATCTCCCGTCACATACAGGTTTCTTTGTCTCCAGGATTGGGAGGACTGGTCAGCAGCCAGTTTACCCATTGTGGCAAATTGATACAGAAACATGCTATCTACAAACTCCATTCTGTTCTGTGAGCTTCATTTTGATTGTAACGTATACTGTATCTTCACTTCTGCAGTGTAGCCTTCATCCTGGAGGTGTTAGAATAAATCCTTTCACCTCACAGAGGGGCTAGCAATGGGAAAGCCAGCAAGAGTCTTCAACTTTGATAGTCCTTCATTCAAATGTGTCCACCCTAGTATGTTAGGTTTGCTGGAATCCAGAGGAATTAGTTTTCTCACTTTGGAACCCAAGGCTGAACTGGCAGATTTGAGATCATCTGACAAGAGGCCAGAACTTCAAGGGCCAGATCTTCTCAAGTCTGAGGCTGTTGTGGGCCATCTGTTGAACAAGAAAAGAATACTGAGTACATGGAGTGGGATTTGTAACTTTTGTGCTTTGTCTAATAAATTCTGGTTTAGAAGTTTCTTTGCAAAGTCTGTGTGTATTCCATTTGGTTTAGCTGTCACAAGGTCCACAATAAATTAAACTGTAAATAGGAGTGCCTATGCGGTGGAGCTCTAATAGGGCATGGTTAAACTACTGGGGAGTCTTTGGAGGGGTAGCATGGTCTTGGGGCATGTTCATGTGGGCTGTGGGGTACCACATCCCAAGAATCTGGACCCTCGGAGCATGCCTGAGAGGCTGGACTAAGGCAGTGTGTAGATGCTGCTAAGACTCAGTAGGCTTAAAAACACATGGAATCCAAAGGTTGAATCCAGTACAGCAGCCTGGTGTCTGACCACAAGGGGCAACTGAACCATGGTTATAATACCTATTCATGGGAGCCTATTGTGCCTCTCTTGTTTACCTGAACTGGAATTTGACCCAAAAAAAGAGGATAAATGCAAATGTGTGCATAATTTTACCATATTAAGCAATTTTAATACTTGCCTCTGGCTCACCGTTTCTGGGAAAAAGACGTTGTATATCTTTCGTATATATGAAGCTTGGCTAATATTTATTTGTTTTTTCTTGCAGCCCAGCTAGAGGTGAACTTTAAGGAAATGGAAAATCATCTGTTGCTGCTTGAAGACCTATGTGGACAGTGTGAGTTGGAAAGGTACAAACATATGCAGACACTACAGCTGGAAAACTACAGGAAAACAAAAAGGTAACTAAACTACAAATGCTATGAACAGTAACATAAAAATAACTATCAAGCCATTAGTTTATAAACCTTTAATTCTCAATGTAAAATGATCTTGGTGCTTTTCCGCTTCATAGAATGTGGTCCATTTTGTTGTCAAATAATTTGTAAACGTCAGGGTTATCTGTGAGAGTTGATGTGATCTACTCAGGAACTGAGCCCAGATCTTCTGATTCCCAGACCCGTGCCTGAAGAACAAGAGCATCATTTTTCTAGGGCTGTCAAATGATTAAAATCATTAATCACAATCGTGAGATTTAAAAAATAGTTGTGATTAATTGCAATTTTAAATGCAGTTAATAATGGAATACCATTTATTTAAATATTTTTGGATGTTTTCTACATTTTAAAGTATATTGATTTCAGTTACAACATAATACAAAGTGTATAGTGCTTCCTTTATATTATTTTTAATTACAAATATTTTCACTGTAAAAAGATAATATATTTCATTTCACCTCCTACAATTACTGTAGTACAATCTCTTTATTGTGAAAGTGCAACTTACAAATGTAGATATTTTTTTTTTACTTAACAGCACTCAAAAACAAAACAATGTAAAACTTCGACCACCATTCCAGAGGACATGTTTCCATGCTGATGAGGGTTCTGCTCAATAATGACCAAAAGCAGTGCACACCGATGCATGTTCATTTTCATCATTTGAGTCAGAAACCACCAACAGACAGTTGATTTTCTTTTTTGGTGGTTTGGGTGCTGTACTTTCCACGTTGGAGTGTTGCTATTTTAAGACTTATGAGAGCATGTTCCACACCTCATCCATCTCAGATTTTCAAGGCACTTCAGATTCCTAAATCTCGGGTCGAGTGCCGTAGCTATCTTTAGAAATCTCATATTGGTACCTTCTTTGCCTTTTTTCAAATCTGTAGTGGAAGTGTTCTTAAATTGAACAGCATATGCTGGCTTGTCATCCAAGACTGCCATAACGTGAAATATATGGCAGAATGTGGGTAAAACCACAGAGCAGGAGACATACAATTCTCCCCCAAGGAGTTCAGTCACAAATGGAATGGTGGTTGAAGCGTGAAGGGGAATATGAATGTTTAGCGTATCTGGCACATAAATACCTTGCAACCTCAGCTACAACAGTGTCATGCAAATGTCTGTTCTCACTTTCAGGTGACATTATAAATAAGAAGCCGAAAGCATGATCTCCCATAAATAAAGCATGATCTCCAAACTTGTTTTCTCGGAGCGATTGGCTACACCTGACCAAATAACTAATATCATTCAGTCAATTTAGTATCAGTGTGCCAAGCTAGTTAAGCTATTTATAGAACTCTTTTGGCTTGAATAACTTTTTTATCTTGCTATTTAACCATTCTGTTTTTTTCTCATTTTCCTGCTTTATTCTTTGTTTTATAGCTAGGCATATTTTCTGTAACCATAATATGCTTAAATAGCGTGCGTCATGCACCAACATTCTGAGTCTTTTAGCCAAAAGGGTGAAGCAGGGTGAAACATCCTCTGTTTCTCTCATCACCGCTTGGCTTCAAGGCAGAGTGGCTTGCTGTCAATGAACTGTTGGCATTTTTTCTCAAGTTGCAAATAGAATAGTAGTAATTGTTGCCTATTGGCATTTTGATAGTTTTTATTAGGATTGTTTTATTATTTTCACCTTGTGATTGTGCTATTTAAAACTTAATGATGGATATTTAAAATTCTGATTTTGCTTGGGGGAATCGTACATTCCTGGGAAATGTGCCATTTATAAGTCTTTCACTGCCAGGACCGCAAAGGTAGAGAAGCTCAGTAGCAAATCCGGTGAGGCCTGCTTCAGGCTCTGGGGCATATGACAATCCTGCTGCTCCCCCTGCCTGGCCTCCTGCCCCAGCCACCACTACACATCCCCAGACATGATTCCCCTACTTCAGGCTCTAGTAGGTCAGTCAAAAAGCTGTTGAGAAGGAAGGTACAGGGATTAGGTAGTTCTAGAGAAGGGGTTCTCAAACTGGGGGTCATGACCCCTCAGGGGGTTGCAAGGTTATTATCTGGGGGTCGCGAGTTGTCAGCCTCCACCCCAAACCCCGCTTCACCTCCAGCATTTATTATAATGTTAAATATTTTTTTTAAAAAAACCTGTTTTTAATTTATAACGGGGGTCACACTCAGAGGCTTGCTGTGTGAAAGGGGTCACCACTACAAAAGTTTGAGAACCACTCTTCTAGAGGTAAATCCCTGGATTAAGGTATCCTCAAAAATAAAAATGGCTTCCCTGCACCATTCTGCCTCTGAGACTTTGTGGCCCTGGGTTTTGACTTCTGAAGCTCGACCCCTTCACCGTACTGAGTCCTTGACACCAAAACAAAATGCTGAGAAATCTTCAAGTGCAGTATCTTCGTCTTCCCACTTTGCTATGTTGGTACTGCCTCCACCACTGGTCAAATCAGCACAGTTAGCAGAGGATTCACCCAGCTGGTGAGCCCTCTATAGCAGTGATGTTCATGGCACTGACAGATCTCAGTGTCTTGCAAGGAAACAGCATTGCCATTGTTGTTCACATGTGGTGTCTCTTATGGCACCAGATCACTCTCACTGCAGTACCAAGTATCTCCACGGCTCTACAGTCCATGCCTATATCTACTTCCCCACCAGTCAAGTTGGAGTGCTCCTTCTCTTTGTCATCTTCCAGCAGCATCAAATCGTAGTGAGAAAAGGGATGCTCCCACATGTACTCCCCATCCACGTCTTCTCCACTTTCTTCTGTCTTAGGTAGTGGATCTAGAGACTGGTCTCTCAACAGATGTGGTGTTCACTAAGCTGGGCATAGACCTTGGTTCTGGTCCATGGCCACCAGGCATTTACCCCTCAATACCTGTGTAGCCTTGTTGGGGGCCATCGACCTCATGGAAGGGAGGATTACCTGGACAGACCTGTGCCTTCTAGAGCTTCTTGATGTATGGCTCAGTGTGACCGTCTGTACCCCTCTGTCCACCCCTTTTACAAGACCATATTAAATATTGTACAAAGCATACTGTGATTTGCTGATCATTGTCCTGATAAAATGTGTGGCAACATTGTATGTAAAGATAAGATTCCACTGTATAATATTACCAACACATTTTCCAACATGTTCTGGAAGGCAGTCACAAACAAGTTCCACGGAGACAAAAGGCTAGCCAATGCCTCAGCCAGGTGTCAACAAGTTCAAATGGACCAATGCCTGAGTAAGTGGCCACTCTTCGGCAAGAGAGAGGGTGGGGGCAAAAAAAAAGCTACATTTTGACAAAGAAGCAACTTAAGGTTCCTGGCCCCACAGACTTCCTGAACATCAGCTGGAGATGATTCTTGTGCAAGAGAAAGGGCTATACGAGGAGAGGACAGATGTCCCAGATAGTCTCTGCCTTGCTCTCTACCCATGGCATTATCAACACCTGAAGAAGAAAGGAAGCAGTGTTGCACTGGGGTAGTTGGGAGGTGGGGGGAGTGATTGACTAAAAGAGGTTCAGCTAGTAAGACTGCTGGAACATGTGGTGAGAGAGACCTTTGCTTTGATTGACTTGACTTGTTAAATTAGGTGTTAATTGCATTTTACCTTTTATTTCTTGGTAACCAGTTCTGAATTATATGCCTCATTACTTGTAGTCACTTAAAAATCTATCTTTCTGTAGTTAATAAATTTGTTGTGTTTTATCTAACCTTGTGTGTTTGGATTGAAGTGTTTGGGCAAACAAGATAAGATTTGTGCATATCATTTTCTATTAATAAATGACGGATTTTATATGAGCTTGTATTGCCCAGGAGGGTACTGGGCAATACAAGGTGCACATGTCTGGGGGAAAGTCTGGGACTGGGAGTTCGCTGATGTGGCCCTGTATGTAATTTGTGAGTGGCTGGCTATAGTATGCATACAATATAGCTGGGAGTGATTTACATGCCGGAGGCTGTGTGGGAGCAGACCAGGAGTGGTGGTTTTCACAGCGAAGCAGGGTAAAAGGTACCCCAGGCTGGACAATTGAGGAGACAGAGCTGTCCATAAATCCAGATTGTATACCCTGTGTAATGTCACACTCAGTCACCCAGGCTGCTTCTGAGCAACAGCAAGCTTAGATTTCCCTCCAACCTGAGGATTTACCAGGGATATCCTATCTCATTCAGTTAATGTATTGGGTTCTACTGTCCTAGTTATCCCCTGACAAAGCTGTGGTCCCTCCCAGTACATTTCAGATGAATAACTTTGATCTTCACCCAGACTTTTCCATCCTGGAGAGGATGAAAGGCAAACCCAACTCACCTTGGAGACTGTTGAGATGGATGTCTAAGCCCTGGTCTACACTAGGACTTTAGGTCGAATTTAGCAGCGTTAAATCGATGTAAACCTGCACCGGCCCACACAATGAAGCCCTTTATTTCGACTTAAAGGGCTCTTAAAATCGATTTCCTTACTCCACCCCTGACAAGTGGATTAGCGCTTAAATCGACGTTGCCGGCTCGAATTTGGGGTACTGTGGACACAATTCGATGGTATTGGCCTCCGGGAGCTATCCCAGAGTGCTCCATTCTGACCGCTCTGGACAGCACTCTCAACTCAGATGCACTGGCCAGGTAGACAGGAAAAGAACAGTGAACTTTTGAATCTCATTTCCTGTTTGGCCAACGTGGCAAGCTGCAGGTGACCATGCAGAGCTCATCAGCACAGGTGACCATGGTGGAGTCCCAGAATCGCAAAAGAGCTCCAGCATGGACCGAACGGGAGGTACGGGATCTGATCGCTGTTTGGGGAGAGGAATCCGTGCTATCAGAACTCCGTTCCAGTTTTCGAAATGCCAAAACCTTTGTGAAAATCTCCCAGGGCATGAAGGACAGAGGCCATAACAGGGACCCGAAGCAGTGCCGCGTGAAACTGAAGGAGCTGAGGCAAGCCTACCAGAAAACCAGAGAGGCGAACAGCCGCTCTGGGTCAGAGCCCCAAACATGCCGCTTCTATGATGAGCTGCATGCCATTTTAGGGGGTTCAGTCACCACTACCCCAGCCGTGTTGTTTGACTCCTTCAATGGAGATGGAGGCAATACGGAAGTAGGTTTTGGGGACGAAGAAGATGATGAGGAGGAGGAGGTTGTAGATAGCTCACAGCAAGCAAGCGGAGAAACCGGTTTTCCCGACAGCCAGGAACTGTTTCTCACCCTAGACCTGGAGCCAGTACCCCCCGAACCCACCCAAGGCTGCCTCCTGGACCCAGCAGGCGGAGAAGGGACCTCTGGTGAGTGTACCTTTTAAAATGCTATACATGGTTTAAAAGCTAGCATGTGAAAGGATTACTTTGCCCTGGCATTTGCGGTTCTCCTAGATGTAGTCCTAAAGCCTTTGCAAAAGGTTTCTGGGGAGGGCAGCCTTATTGCGTCCTTCATGGTAGGACACTTTACCACTCCAGGCCAGTAACACGTACTCGGGAATCACTGTAGAACAAAGCATTGCAGTGTATGTTTTCTGGCATTCAACCAAAATCCGTTCTTTATCTCTCTGTGTTATCCTCAGGAGAGTGAGATATAATTCATGGTCACCTGGTTGAAATAGAGTGCTTTTCTTCAGGGGACACTCAGAGGAGCCCATTCCTGCTGGGCTGTTTGCCTGTGGCTAAACAGAAATGTTCCCCGCTGTTAGCCACAGGGAGGGGAGAAGGTTGAGGGGGTAGTCACGCGGTGGGAGGAGGCAAAATGCGACCTTGTAACGAAAGCACATGTGCTATGTATGTAATGTTAACAGCAAGGTTTACCCTGAAAGACAGTAGCGACTGTTTTATAAAATGTGTCTTTTTAAATACCGCTGTCCCTTTTTTTTTCTCCACCAGCTGCATGTGTTTCAATGATCACAGGATCTTCTCCTTCCCAGAGGCTAGTGAAGCTTAGAAAGAAAAAAAAAACGCACTCGCGATGAAATGTTCTCCGAGCTCATGCTGTCCTCCCACACTGACAGAGCACAGACGAATGCGTGGAGGCAAATAATGTCAGAGTGCAGGAAAGCACAAAATGACCGGGAGGAGAGGTGGCGGGCTGAAGAGAGTAAGTGGCGGGCTGAAGACAGGGGTGAAGCTCAAAGGTGGCGGCAGCGTGATGAGAGGAGGCAGGATTCAATGCTGAGGCTGCTGCAGGACCAAACCAGTATGCTCCAGTGTATGGTTGAGCTGCAGCAAAGGCAGCTGGAGCACAGACTGCCACTGCTGCCCCTCTGTAACCAACCGCCCTCCTCCCCAAGTTCCATAGTCTCCACACCCAGACGCCCAAGAACGCGGTGGGGGGCCTCCGGCCAACCAGCCACTCCACCACAGAGGATTGCCCAAAAAAAAGAAGGCTGTCATTCAATAAATTTTAAAGTTGTAAACTTTTAAAGTGCTGTGCTTAAAGTGCTGTGTGGCATTTTCCTTCCCTCCTCCACCACCCCTCCTGGGATACCTTGGTAGTCATCTCCCTATTTGTGTGATGAATGAATAAAGAATGCATGACTGTGAAGCAGCAATGACTTTATTGCCTCTGCAAGCAATGATTAAAGGGAGGAGGGGAGGGTGGTTAGCTTACAGGGAAGTAGAGTGAACCAAGGGGCGGGGGGTTTCATCAAGGAGAAACAAACAGAACTTTCACACCGTAGCCTGGCCAGTCATGAAACTGGTTTTCAAAGCTTCTCTGATGCGTACCGCGCCCTCCTGTGCTCTTCTAACCGCCCTGGTGTCTGGCTGCGCATAACCAGCAGCTAGGCGATTTGCCTCAACCTCCCACCCCGCCATAAACGTCTCCCCCTTACTCTCACAGATATTGTGGAGCACACAGCAAGCAGTAATAACAGTGGGAATATTGGTTTCGCTGAGGTCTAAGCGAGTCAATAAACTGCGCCAGCGCGCCTTTAAACGTCCAAATGCACATTCTACCACCATTCTGCACTTGCTCAGCCTGTAGTTGAACAGCTCCTGACTACTGTCCAGGCTGCCTGTGTACGGCTTCATGAGCCATGGCATTAAGGGGTAGGCTGGGTCCCCAAGGATACATATAGGCATTTCAACATCCCCAACAGTTATTTTCTGGTCTGGGAATAAAGTCCCTTCCTGCAGCTTTTGAAACAGACCAGAGTTCCTGAAGATGCGAGCATCATGCACCTTTCCCGGCCATCCCACGTTGATGTTGGTGAAACGTCCCTTGTGATCCACCAGAGCTTGCAGCACTATCGAAAAGTACCCCTTGCGGTTTATGTACTCGGCGGCTTGGTGCTCCGGTGCCAAGATAGGGATATGGGTTCCGTCTATAGTCCCACCACAGTTAGGGAATCCCATTGCAGCAAAGCCATCCACTATGACCTGCACATTTCCCAGGGTCACTACCCTTGATATCAGCAGATCTTTGATTGCGTGGGCTACTTGCATCACAGCAGCCCCCACAGTAGATTTGCCCACTCCAAATTGATTCCCAACTGACCGGTAGCTGTCTGGCGTTGCAAGCTTCCACAGGGCTATTGCCACTCACTTCTCAACTGTGAGGCCTGCTCTCATCTTGGTATTCATGCGCTTCAGGGCAGGGGAAAGCAAGTCACAAAGTTCCATGAAAGTGCCCTTACGCATGCGAAAGTTTCGCAGCCACTGGGAATCGTCCCAGACCTGCAACACTATGCGGTCCCACCAGTCTGTGCTTGTTTCCCGAGCCAAGAATCGGCATTCCACAGCATGAACCTGCCCCATTAGCACCATGATGCATGCATTGGCAGGGCCCATGCTTTCAGAGAAATCTGTGTCCATGTCCTGATCACTCACGGGACCGCGCTGACGTCGCCTCCTCGCCCGGTATCGCGTTGCCATGTTCTGGTGCTGCATATACTGCTGGATAATGCGTGTGGTGGTTAATGTGCTCCTAATTGCCAAAGTGAGCTGAGCGGGCTCCATGCTTGCCTTGGTATGGCGTCCGCACAGAAAAAAGGCGCGGAACGATTGTCTGCTGTTGCTCTGACGGAGGGAGGGGCGACTGACGACACGGCTTACAGGGTTGGCTTCAGGGAGCTAAAATCAACAAAGGGTGTGCCTGTACGTCAAGGAGTATTTCAGGCAGGACTTCACGGAGGGTTCCAATAAGAAATGGTGCACCTAAGTTATCGTTCTTATTGGAACAAGGAGGTTAGCCTGGCCTCTGATTGATACATGGCTAGATTTACCTCGCTGCACCTTCTCTGTGAGTGACTGCAGTGTGATCTAGACAGGGGAGGAGGCAAATGAGTACAAAACAAATCTGGTCTATTTCTTGTTCTGACCCACTCCATCTATCTTTTACATCTTTGGCTGGCAGCAGACGGTGCAGAAGGACTGCATGCCATCCACATCTCATGGCTGCTCGGCAGAAGATGGTACAGTACGACTGCTAGCCATCTTCATCTCTTGCCTGCCTGGCAGAAGATGGTACAATACGACTGCTAGCAATCCTCATCTCTTGCCTGCCTGGCAGAAGATGGTACAGTACGACTGCTAGCAGTCCGTATCGCCTGCCCGCTCACCATAAGACGGTTCAATAGGACTGACTGCAGGACTAAAGAGAATGACCTGGTCAAGTCACTCCAAATTTAGTCCCTGCGCCCATGTCTGCCCAGGCGCTCCCAGCCGACGTGGCCGGGAGCACCTCGGACACGACGAGGACGACTACCAGTCGTATTGCACTGTCTGCTGCCAGAAGGCAATGGGTTGCTGCTACTGTGCAGCAAAGCCGTACCGCGTCTGCCAGCACCCAGGAGACATAGGGTGACGGTTACCTGAGCGGGCTCCATGCTTGCCGTGGTATGGCGTCTGCACAGGTAACTCAGGAAAAAAGGCGCGAAATGATTGTCTGCCCTTGCTTTCACGGAGGGAGGGAGGGAACGGGGGCCTGACGACACGTACCCAGAACCACCCGCAACAATGTTTTAGCCCCGTCAGAGTGCTCCATTGTGACTGCTCTGGACAGCACTCTCAGATGCCCGATTGTTTGCCATTGCTCTGACGCTGGGAGGGGCGCTTACAGGGTTGGCTTCAGGGAGCTAAAATCAACAAAGGGGGTGGCTTTACATCAAGGAGTATTTCAGGCAGGACTTCACGGAGGGTTCCAATAAGAAATGGTGCACCTAAGTTATTGTCCTTATTGGAACAAGAAGGTTAGCCTGGCCTCTGATTGATACATGGCTAGATTTACCTCGCTGCACCTTCTCTGTAAGTGACTGCAGTGTGATCTAGAAGAATGAGTCCCCTAGACAGGGGAGGGGGGGAAGCAAATGAGTACAAAACAAATCTGGTTTATTTCTTGTTTTGATCCACTCCATCTATCTTTTACATCTTTGGCTGGCAGCAGACGGTGCAGAAGGACTGCATGCCATCCACATCTCATGGCTGCTCGGCAGAAGATGGTACAGTACGACTGCTAGCAGTCCGTATCGCCTGCGCGCTCACCATAAGACGGTTCAATAGGACTGACTGCAGGACTAAAGAGAATGACCTGCTGAAGTCACTCCAAATTTAGTCCCTGCGCCCATGTCTGCCCAGGCACTCCTGATCGACCTCACAGAGGCGACCAGGAGCACCTCAGACATGACGATGACGGCTACCAGTCGTACTGTACCGTCTGCTGCCACAAGGCAAGGGGTTACTGCTACTGTGTAGCAATGCCGTACCGCGTCTGCCAGCACCCAGGAGACATAGGGTGACGGTTACCTGAGCGGGCTCCATGCTTGCCGTGGTATGGCGTCTGCACAGGTAACTCAGGAAAAAAGGCGCGAAATGATTGTCTGCCCTTGCTTTCACGGGGGGGGGGGAGGGAACGGGGGGCTGATGATATGTACCCAGAACCACCCGCGACAATGTTTTAGCCCCATCAGGCATTGGGATCTCAACCCAGAATTCCAATGGGCAGCGGAGACTGCGGGAACTGTGGGATAGCTATCCACAGTGCAACGCTCCGGAAGTCGACGCTTGCCACGGTACTGTGGAAGCGCTCCGCCCAGTTAATGCACTTAATGCACTTAGAGCATTTTCTGTGGGGAGACACACACTCGAATATATAAAACAGATTTCTAAAAAACCGACTTCTATAAATTCGACCTACTTTCGTAGTGTAGACATACCCTAACTGTGTGAGAGCCTGCTTTGAGTTGGCTAAGGTGGATCTTCTTATTTCTCTGAGCTCACTCCACCAGAGCTCAGGCAGCCTCAGCAGCATTGTTGAAAAACATTTGTTATGGACATATGTAAAGCAGTCAAGTGGAGTTCTAGCTATCCACACATTTACAAAGCATTGTGCTATTATTGAAGCCTCCAGATCAGATGCTGTATTTAGGAAGGCTATTCTGCATTCTCTGTTTTCTTGAGCTTCCACCTCCATTAGAATGGTCCACTGCTTGGGAGTCACCATAAATGGAATGTGCATATGGACAATCACTCAAAGGAGAAAGGAAAGTTTCTTACCTGTTTAGTAACTGTAGTTCTTTCAGATATTTTCTATATGCAGATTCCATGATCCACCCTCCACCCCTTCTACCTAAAAGTCCTTTACCACCCAGGATTCTTCAGTGGGGAGGAAACTGAGTGGCAGGTGGCCCAATCTACCCTTTTATGTGTTTGGTGCAGGACACAAGGACACTCAGGGTGCATGTGTATGAAGTAGCTTGTGCGCACCCACACACCAGGTTCCTTCTCACTGCCACAGGCAGTAAGAGGAAACTGAGGGAGAGATGTGACCACTCCACCCTCTATATGCGTATGTGGAAACACAAGGATGCACGTGGTGCATTTGTGGACCTGACAGACACTGCTATTCAAAATAGCCTGATCTCTCACGCATGAGATGCGTGCATATCTATAGAGGGACACATACTTAAAGAAGAACATCAAGTTCTATACTACAGTGCCAGCAGGCACAACTGACATTTCACTATTTTGTCTTCGGGGAAAGAGTAGATAGCAATGAAAGAGTAATTAAAAAAAAAAGAGAGAGAAATTATGAGTCACACATGAATGGTAAGAATGAATTAACTCTGTGCGAACTGTGTAACTAGTAAGTGGGAACCAATGAACAAATGCTCCTGTGACAAGTAAAAAGTCACAGTGCAGCAGTTCATCATATTGCCATTAAGTTGAAAGCTAAGCTGAAGTGTTTACAAGCAAGTATATACAAAATATTGTTTGCAACTCGAAATTCATAACACACGTGTGTTTAGACAAGTTATAGATTCCTTCTCTGCAGTTTTATTTTTAAAAATATTTTCCGTCACTTGCTTATCGCGATCCAAGATAAAATTCTGAAGATGCTGCATCTTTCCTGCTGTGGCAGGAAAAGTTAACAGCTTATGTAGTGCAGGGAACTGCATTCCCTGAGTCAGGTCCTAGTGATATCAATTGCAATAGAGAGGGCTCCATCTCAGATGTTGTCAGATATATACAGCCTTTCAGATCACTTTTGTG